TTTTTACAATAATGGGTGACAGATTATCTGGTCCAGCTGGTTTCTTTTATAATTGATATTTGATCACTAACATCTTCTTCTGTAATGATAATATTATTAAAGTCAAGATGACTAAGGGGAGGTAAGTCTGTAACCAAAGTGTTAGTACTATCATCAATAGAATTAGAAATGGAAGCAAAAAAAATATTAAGTGCTTCTGCTTTGTCAATAGGATGAATCATAACGTTACCACCAACTCGTAGGGGATGAGAGACATTAGAAGAGTTAGACATGTTACTTATTGATTTGGCAATACGCCACTACTTACCTGGAGGTACCGACTTATCTGATAAGGAATCCTGTAATTTCTTAAGGTAAACGTCTTTAGCTTTTCTAATTAAGTCAATGCATTCATTACGTTTATTTCTAAATTTTAGCCAGTCACTATCCTTGTTAGTAATTTTTGCTTTTCTATGTATTCTGTTTTTCTTTCTCAAATTAGACCTTATTAAATTTGTCTCTGATTTAGGCTGCTACCAGTGTTCCCATAGACCCTCGGACAATCACTATGAAAAACAAACACTGTAGTACTATGGAAATAGACTAATTTTCTATGAAGTTGTTCAATGACAAGTAACAGAGAAAAAGTCCACCGTGAAATTATTTACTTTTTCTTACCTATGTGTATTGATTATGGATGGTTCCGTGTTGTTTCGCCCGAAATCCCGTTTGCCCTAGCTATAGCTGCGCTAGGTTGTTTCGCCCTAAAACAAAACAAAATGAGACTGGGCGAAATATTGTTTGGTATTTTCTTCAAATTTTTAAAAGTAGTTTTAAGTCACAAATTAAGGTCTTGTTCGTTTATGCGGAACAACCGGTTTGACGGTTGGTAAATGTAACAATTTCGGGTATAACTGCAGGCCTTGCTAGACTTTGTCAAGGTTCGCCTGAAAGCAGCATCATATTACTAGGTCCGACCTTATTTAATAAACGAACAACAGTGGTACGACCGGTTTGACCGTTTAAACGAAAACGGCCTAAGCCTTCTTAGTCTTCCATATCATTTAAATCAATTTTATAACAAAAATGTCTTTGGGTTGTTTTTAAGGGAGTGTGACAAACGGCAGCTTTGAAAAGCTGACTCCGCACTCACACAGTTGCGTATTTTTCTACATGAAATATACCTAACACCAACGTAAAAAGTTATCAATAAGTTTAGTTGATATATTTAAATATTAATTATTATATTAGCGTATAAATTTAAATAAAATTAAGGCGAAATAACCTAGGGCGAACGGGATTTAGGGCGAAACAACCCGTTACCATTATCAGAGACGTATATATGTAATATATACGTCTCTGCCTTTATGAACACCTAATATGCAATGGAATGTTCGTGGCAAGGTCAATCAAATTTTCAGTACGTCTATAAGAAATGTATTTTATAGACGTATTATCTAGGCCTATGGTATTAAATGCGTAATATATTCGGCCTAGGATTAGTTGCCAGGCCGCCGTATGTTTTTAACAAGATTTTAACATCATCTTTACAATACTAACAACTGATTGATTTATTACTTCAATTTGGGTTCCATATCATTTGATGCATAAAAAGCGTTATGGTACTTTTTTCAGAAACAAAATAAAATAATCTGGCAAAAGATTTAAGGGAGGCCGGGGCAAGTTTGGCCGATATACCTTCTCAAAATATTTTGGGTTGCTCTCTTTATCAGACCAGTATATCAGTTATATCTTCTTGTAATATGATGTATACGTACATGTAACTGTTCTGTTTCACTGTGTCTTAATAAAGGAGCGGATCGACAAATTTGACAACCTAAACTTGTCCACACTGGTGGAATACCCCATATACTATTTAAGTCATTCGTATACTACGGACACACCTCCATTAGGATCCAGTGTTATATGGGATTTTACCGTCTATATTATTTCTTTGACCCATACCTTTATATAAGTAATATTTGTATCATAACTTAGTCCACCTTTTTTTGTGATCCGGCTTCTCCCTTAATTGTTGTGTATCATCCTTGTTATTGTTTTGTATCGTCTTTGCTGTCAATTCTTGTATCTTCTTATTTTACTACTATGGATCCAGTAACCATCTACAACAAAGCTAAAAGAGGAGCCCAAAGAGTTGTTACCTCGCAGCACCATCTTAGCAACTACAACTCGTACATCCAGGACAATATTGTACCCCAAGGTTTACGATTCAAGTGCACGCCCAATGTTGGTCTTATGTCTAAATCTGCTACTGCACGCTTTGACCACATCAAACCTGTCTGTCAAACTAAACTTCTACATCTTCTTCAAGGCATTTGTAATAGTAAACTTTCTGTTGCGTCTAAGGAGCTGGCAGTTGATTTAAAACACCTGACTTCAGTTACACCCGAGAATGATAGAAACATCTACCTTCAGAAGATTCAACATTTCGAAAACATCAAACGTACATCTCTTAGACATACACAAATGAAAAAAATGCCACCGCGATGGGCTTTACAATCTCCCGGAAACTGACATCAACTCACGTCGCACATTTAAAAAGACAAGGTTCCGACGTAATCAACAAACTATCAAGACCATTACTACGAGTAATACATTCGTCAACCTATCAAACCATCCCCTTATAGAACCAGAGCATGCTCTTCTTACTAAGGGTCTTAATTTTTGTCCGGTTCCCAGAAGCCCCAACAATGCAGAGCTGATCGAAGACATGGACAGATTCTACAGGCTACTTCGGCTACGCGTGTACTTTGCTAACGACCGTGACCCA